CACTTTATTTACTCAGAAATTATTGGCACTATATACAAGTTGTTACATTAGCATGTATTACTTACTTACTTACGCCTGTTACCCCCAATGGAGCATAGGCCGCCAACCAGTTTCCTCCAAGTAACTCTGTCCTCGGCTTCCTTTTCCAGTTCTGTATAATGTTTGTTCATTCCTCTCATATTTTTCTCCATTTCTCCGCGTAATGTGTTTCTTGACCTTCCTCTTTCCCTTTTACCTTGAGGGTTGCATGTGAGGACTTGTCTTATGACGCAGTTCGGTGCTTTCCGCAATGTGTGTCCTATCCACTTCCACAGCTTCTTCCTGATTTCCTCCTCCACTGGAATCTGGTTTGTTCTCTCCCACAGTTCGTTGTTGCTGATGATGTCTCGCCAATGAATCCGAACTATTTTGCGTAGACAACTGTTCATAAACACTTGTATCTTCTGGATGATAGCTTTGGTAGTTCTCCAAGTTTCCGCTCCATACAGTAGAAATGTCTTGATATTTGTATTGAAAATCCTGATTTTGGTTTTGGTTGAAAGTTGTTTGGAGTTCCAGATATTTTTCAACTGTAGAAGTGCAGCCCTTGCTTTGCCGATCCGCGCCCCCACATCTATATCGGATCCACCTTGATAGTCAGTGATGCTGCCTAAATATTCAAAGGTTTTAACGTCCTCCATGGCGGCTTCATCAAGAGTGATGTGGTTGATGCATGTTGTGTTGTATCGTAGAATCTTGCTTTTCCCTTTATGTATGTTGAGACCTACTGTTGCAGAGGCTGCTGCTACACTGGTCGTCTTCTCTTGCATTTGTTGTTGAGTGTGCAACAGTAGGGCCAGATCATCCGCGAAGTTCAGATCGTTCAGCTGCATCCTGGCTGTCCACAGTATACCAAGCTTCCCTCCAGATGTTGAGGTCTTTACAGTCCAGTCGATCACCAGGAGAAAGATAAAGGGTGAGAGTAAGCAACCTTACCTGACACCGGTCTTCACCTTGAACGAGTCTATCAGCTGTCCTCCATGCACGATTTCGCAGTTTAATCTTTCATAAGAATTCCGTGTGATGTTGACTATTTTCTCAGGCACGCCGTAGTGTCGAAGAAGCCTCCATAGTGTTTTCCTATACACACAATCGAATGCTTTCTCGTAGTCAATGGATTTGATGTAGAGTGGTGGGTTCCATTCAATTGATTGTTCCACAATGATCCGTAATGTAGCAGTTTGGTCAGTACACGGTCAAACCTTACGAAATCCATCCTGTTGATCTCGAATTCGGGCGTCTACGAAATCCTTCATTCTGTTTAACAATACCCGCTTGAAGATGTTGCCTGGTATTGAAAGAAGAGTGATGCCTCTGTAGTTCTCACATTTGCTGAGATCGCCTTTCTTTGGTATTTTGATGCGGTATCCTTCCTTCCAGTCTGTTGGCATTTTGTCTTCATCCCAAATCTTGTTGAAGAGAATGAGAAATGTTTTTGCAGTTTCTTCCACATCTGATTTCATTGCCTCTGCTGGAATGTTGTCTGGTCCTGCTGCTTTGCCGTTCTTGATTTGTCTGATGGCCATACTGATCTCCTCAATTGTAGGTGCGCCAATATTAATTGGGAGGTCTTTGGATGCTGCCTCGATGTTGGGTGTGTTCAGTGGGGCTGGTCGATTCAGGAGTTCCTTAGAGTGCTTCGCCCACCTGTTTTGCTGTTCTTCAGTGTTGCTGATTACTTTTCCCTCCTTGCTTTTCACTGGTCGTTCTGGTTTACGATAGTTTCCCGCGAGTTTTGTACAATTGTCTCAAGTTTCCGTCCCTAGCAGCCGTTTCTGCCGTCACTGCTAGATCTTCCACATATTTTCGTTTATCAGCTCTGATGCTCTTCTTCACTTCCCTGTTTGCTTCTGTGTATTCAGCTTGTGCCTTGGCTTTCTGTGCTGTTGTTCGGCTGATGTTGATTGCTGCCTTCTTGTTCCTCCTTTCTTCAATTTTTGCAAGAGTACCAACAGACATCCAATCCTTGTGATGGTACTTCCTGCGACCCAGAACCTGCTAACATGTTGAAGTGATTGCCTCATCGATCCCTTTCCAATTGTTCTCCATGGTTGTTTCCTCCCCATTGCATAGATTGTGCAAGGCCTGGAACCTATTGCTGAGGGGCTATCTTGAATTCGTTGAGTTTTCCAGTATTCCGAAGAAACACCGTATTAAACTTTTGGGATGTTGTCTGCCCCGTTGTCCAGTGCTTCTTTAGTTTCAGTTTCATTTTGGCGATCAGCAAGTGGTGATCTGAAGCTATATCAGCTCCTCTCCTGGTTCTCACATCCTCCATGGTCTTTCTGAACGTTTTGTTGATACAGATATGGTTAATTTGGTTTTGAGTAGTGTAGTCCGGTGAAATCCATGTGGCTTTGTGAATGCGTTTGTGTGGGAATATTGTGCCACCGACGACCAGTTTGTTGAAAGCACATAGGTTTGCAAATCTCTCACCTCTTTCGTTCCTTTCTCCCAGTCCATGTCGTCCCATGATGTCTTCATATCCAGTGTTGTCCATGCTAAACTTGACATTTAATTCTCCTGCCAAAATGATCAAATCCATTGATGAGCATTCCTCGACGACTGACTGTAGCCTCTCGTATAATTGATCTTTAACGTCTTCATTGTATTCGTTGTTGCTGTCCATGCCAACGTTTGCATTCAGGTCCTCATAAGAACCGTCAAATCCTTTGGTGAGCATTTCTCGACGATTGACCACAGCCTTTCGTAGAATTGATCTTTAACGTCTTCATTGTAGTAATTGGTAAGTGCATAACATTGGATGACGTTCATTTTAATTTCCTTTTTCCTTGTTTTCAAGGATGCTTTAATGATCCTGGGTCCATGAGATTCCCATCCTTTCAGTACCTTTTGTGCATGTTTGGACAGCATCAGTGCAACTCCTTGTGTATGTGAAGCGTTTTCCTCTTCATGACCAGAGTATAACGGCAGTTCCTCTGAAGCTAGTCTCAGTTGTCCTACTTGTGTCCAATGCGTTTCACTGATTCCAAGCACCTCGAGGTTGTATCTTTTCATTTCTGCCGCAACGTGAAATAGTCTTCCAGTCTCCCACAATGTACGAACGCTCCATGTACCTAAAAGAATGGTTGCTCTGGTTGTCATTAGCATGTATACAATGGATTTATATATTTAAAATGTAATCGATATCAATAAATAACTAACATTGATCTGTTCATGATTTAAATAAAACTCAACAATTTCCATAACCTATACCGACAAATAACTACAGTTTAAATTTTTGATCTCCATTTTAAGCAAATTTTTATACAGAACTACACAAGCATTTATTTACAATTAAGTAGTATAAATATTTAACTGTATTCCACTGATATTATTCAAAACTACCCATTGTACATTAATTAATGAATAACTGTATGCTCATTATTCAATTTATTGTTATAACTAATCATTATATAAATATGAATAACAAGAACACATTATTTGTTTGATAATAATCAGTAATGAACTATAAACTAAATAAGAGAAATGAACAAATTTGAAATTATCGAACTGTTATATAGACGAGAGTATAAATGAGTTTAAACAAGTGTGTTGTTTTTATATTTACACTGAGAAATTTTATTGTGCTTGTTTTTGAATAGACAGTAGTAGAAACGCTGTGACATATTTAAGTGCTTTAGTTAAATGAGTAATCCTTCTATATTGAAATGAATAATATTTTTTTTTGATTCAAAAATAGTATTCCATGAAAATGTTGTTGATTATAGTGCTTCCTTAATTCTAATACTTTGCGTACACAAAGTTTACCAATAAAACTTTTCGTAGGTTTCATATGCTTAAAAAAAGTATATTGTATTTACTGGAACTACAAAGACAATAAGTTTGTATGCATGATAGACAAGCCAATAGTCATTTTCATTTAGAGCTCAATTATGAAATGGCAAAGAAAAAGAGAACTTGAATGCCAAGATCGATAGTCCTAACATAGCTGACAATGGAGAATATATAAGTTTCACAAATAAATCAAAACAATCACAAGAAACAACAAATATAGATGAGATCTTCAATAAGTGACAAGAAAACACTGGGAAATATTTTTTAAACCAAATTACGTCCGCAGCTATCGATACAAACGTATAGCCAAGTAAAAGAAAAAATAAAAATTACAATCTTGGTAATATTACAGTTATCCTTATAATAATGATGATATTCACTCAGACACTAGAAAGTATTCACAAGAAGTTTTATGTTGATAATTACAGTAACCATATTATGATTAGTGAAACTACCTAGCGACTTAACAAATTCGATTAAATCAAAAACTTCCTGATCAGTATCAAGTAAGTTATCGAACGATCATTACCTGATCAAAGAGGTTCATTTCCACATTTTCACTCCAAGTAGTAAAATGCATTAAACTCTACCGTGTATTATACTCTGCATGTATAAACATTAGTCTTTTATTGACAGATCCAACCCACATAAAGTAAACATACTGGCGGTCATAAGATGATTATTAGTGACTAGCTTCGAAGGGATACCATGGCCAGTAGAACTAAGCAATGCCAAATGTTGTGATAAGTGTATCCATTGAAGATAATGGAATATGGTCACATAATATTGTAGATCGATTGAAGTTATACCTGCATAGAACTGGACCACGGCCCAGTGATCTAGAGATTAGGGAACAGAATACGAGACTGAAGGTCTATGATTTGATCCCCGATGGCGTGGTCCTGGATGCACACTGCTAGAGATTTATGATAAATCAAACAGCTGTCTAGTGCTTAAAATTTTCCAATAGTTGTCTATCTTAAATCAGTTCGTGATCGCTGTAGAATCCAACAATCTACACGAAATCTGATACTGAAAATCAATATCTACTTAAACAGTTTCAATTATACTAAAACAAGTTAAAGAGATTTTAAAAAGACAGACACAACTACACAGATCTCAATGGACATGAATCATGAAGAATAATTCTGTTTCCACTAAAATCCAGATAATAAGTTACGTATTAATTAACCTTCCCATGAAGAAAATAAGTTCAACATTCAGGTCAAAGGTGATTTTTTGAGGACAAAAGAACGACAAGAAAACACCTTAATACTACCACCATGCATATAAATACATATAAATCAAAAAAGTATATATCACAAAATGCACAAACAACTCTACAATGCAATGATCGATAAATGTTTCGTCATAAAATCAATAGAGTCAATAATATAAGAAATAAAACCGCATATAAAAAGAGCAATAAACAGGAAAAGACGGTTCACCATTAACAAAGAGTATAAATCAAATGAGTATTTGGAGTTTGTTTTGAAAATAAATGAAAAATAAGTGGAAAGATGGAAAAAAGCAATATTCGTTACTAATCTTAGGATGTTATCATGAATATTTACTTGAATATAAATTTCCGTAAAGAAAAAATAGGCTAAAAAACATTAAAAATTTGTCACATAATTAACAGGAATGAAACAAATTGCCCGGATTAAAAATAAACTGGACCAAAATAAGGAAAGTATATTATATGTTTTTGGAATGTGAACAAGAAAGGTGATCATAAATATGGAATGAAATGTCGCCATAAAATACATCCTTTCTTAAAAATGATGTTACATCAAGTTATGTTTAACAATTATAAAGTCCAATGTGTCCTATCAAAACCCAATGATAAACCAGATATAATTCTTTTAGCTTCTTCTTTATTATTTGATTCGAATACATAGCATGTAAAATGACTAGCTGTAGTGCATGATTCCGCTCCGGCTATATACGCAAAATAATTGGTTCCATCGGTTCTTCGACCGCATGAAGATATTTGTGGATAGGAATGACGTAGTAGAGGTTCTTCGCTACGATCGACTTTATTATCTCTCCATCGTAACTGCCATATAGTCACTCCCAATTCACCTTAAGTTATTAAACAATAAAATAACAAATTTACGTAATAAAGAAAACCGAAAACGATATATATATATATATATATATATATATATATATATATATATATATATATAAGCATTGATTTACCCAGTTCAATGTGCACCGGAGTCTGTTCATCTGAATTCTTCCAATCACTTAAAACAGAAACAATTGACTGATTAATCATGTTAACTCCACCACTTGGACCCACTTCACATTGTCCAATATACCGAAAATGACACCAAGGTTTCTGGTTGAAAAACTTATGATCGTCAATAATATGAACTAGTATGGAAAAACAAAAGCAAGGTACACGAAAATCAATGTCTACATAAACAATAACATGTTATAAATATCGATTTCTGTATAATAATTTCCTTCAATAAATTTTTCTAAAACACAAGGAGCCAACCAATATGGTATTTGATCATTTTTTCATTAAAATTTGAGGAGGGAGTCATTTCTATGTCTTTTCTGTAGTGAATTTATGGGGACTTCTAGTAGAATAAGCGAATGGTTCCCTAGGTCTACTAGTTCAATCGCGAACTCATGTTTCTCATCTTTTGATATCTGCTTCCATTCAGACAGATGATTATAAAAATGTGCAAACTAACATTATAAGACAATACAACAAAATTTGCTATGTATGACAAAGCATGTTGTACTTGATTTACAAATAATCATTCTGTGTTTATGAGTATATGTTAAAGTCAACATGTTTAGCAATTTAATTTCAATAGAAATAAATGAATTAAATAAATTGAGTAGATACACAATGATTTATAAAAAAAAAGTGATAAGCAAATCGTAATGACAAGTTATATTAATTTTTATCAACCGTGATAAAAAAAAGCACAACGATAAAATACAATATCATCATCATCATCATTATTGACTATAAACAATTTGTTCTTGTATTATTTAGTTTTAAAAATTTCCAGCGATAATTTCCACTAAAAATTGACTGAGTTTGTTAAATGATTATTTATTTTCATTATTACTTTTTATTTGATCAATATTGGTGTTTTACACAAATTAGCAAACAACCAGATTATTTTGTAATAACTTCATCACTTCTTGTCAACAGAAGTAGCAGTGGAAAATAAAATTTTCAGAATTTTAGGCTTCCCATTAATGCAGTTAATGAACAAATATGTAAACTATTTATTATGCTGATATTAATCTTACTGTTAATAAGTGATGATACACAGATTATTGATATTACTATTTTCGTGTACTTACTTTTCCGATTTTCTACGAAGCATCAAACCAGAAAACAAATTCTGAATCACATTATGAACAAGGAGCATGAGCCTAAAAGTGATACTATGCAGTTTGTTTGCATAATATAATCAAGAGAAGCGATTTCTACCTCCTAGGTTTCACAGTTGACTTCTCTGGGATTTCCTGGTTATAACCAGTAAGATATTAAAATGAGCATAAGGCCTAAAGAACATTCAAACTTAGTCGTCAGTCAGTCAGTTATAACGTAGAACTTCGTATGTACGTACATCAGTTCACGTTGTCATACCACATTAGTACACAGACGCAGTTTTCAATTCAAATCCGATAGTAGTAGAGGTAGTAGGAGTATTGACAGTAATCGGAAACTTTAGGGTTCGACGATATTATTCAAGAAGTAAAATCCAGTGAAATAAACTTTAACGAAAAAGATAAAGGTGATGAGGAACTCTGAAGGTTAGGATTTGAGAGAACACAAAGAATGAATGCAACTGCGCCACTGCAAACGGTTTCGAGCCAAGTCATTCAGGGTCTCTAACCATCAGTTATTATCATCTAGCGGGCCCTGAACAGGAAGTCGACACCTACCAACATGATTTAGTCCACTTATCAGTGACTCCATTGATTTGCGCCATGTTTCAGTTTGACCGCCTCTTGCTTTCTTCCAACATTCATAATACATGTCCCAACCACTTCAACAGATGAAATTTCACTACTGTATCTATTGATCTGCCATCTCTACATAGTACCCATCTCCTAACAACAGCATTGATTACTCGATTGTTCCAGGACGCACGAGCTATGTTTCGGAGACACTTATGATCGAAAACAAGCAACCTACGAATATCTTCTACTCTCACTGGCAATGTTCCACAGCCATAAAGTAGGACGGAGCGAACAACTGCGCAGTACACTCGTCCTTTAGTCAGCAAACGGATATCTCGCCTACGCCTTCAGTGACACAAGTTAGCGAAAGCCAATCAAGTCCTCTGTATCCGTGCTGAGATTTCGTCAGTCACCAGGCCATCAGCACTGATGAGACTCCCCAGATAAGTGAGACGGTGAACATGCTCAACTGCTTCACTCCTAATCACTAGTTCAGGTGGCAATTAAAGTCAATCCTTCAGCAACATTTTGTATTTCGACGGGGAGAATCGCATCCCGAACATGCTTGCATTGTTGCTTAGGGAGTTCACACTTAGTCGTATACATGTACAGTAAAATGTCCAAAAATGAATCGCCATAACAACCCCATAACTAGTCACCAAATGACAATAAATTAAGGAAATATGATATATGATATGATATACCTTGTCCTGATCTTCCAAGCTCTGTAATTAAGTCTACGTAACCATGTTGTTCTAAAAGAGATCTTAAACGAGGATATATACGCCCATCAGGCATCAGAGCTTTCGTAACACCGACTGGAATTGGTTGACCATCATAAAGAGACCGAAGATTATTCAGAAAGACTCCAGAATTGTGTAATATACAACCATGCATAGTAGATAAAATATCACCAACAGTTATCTGATGTTCTTCTGCAACAACTCCACTAGGATCTACTTCTGTCACTAGATAGTGCCCGTCTACCGTTTCTACACGAGCACCAAGCATTCTATGGGGGATGAAATACAATTTGTTATTTAATTATTAATTAATTTATTATGCAAAAACAAAGAAAGTATAAAACTTTTACAACTCATAAAAATGTCAGTATAATTCGAAGACCTAAGCGATAACAGCAGGAAAAAACGCAACACCTGAAAAGTAGTTAATAGCATTGAACACTTCTGAGTCACATATCGTGCTGTAACTAAAACGTACAGACTTAAAGCTTCGTGTTGGTGATCGGTTTACATTTACTAAGTCACGAATTTACAAAGTTCTGATAACCACACAGTATAATCAGTTTGATCAATGAGCTTCCAGTCAGTGATTAATTTATAGCTAGAAACATGGACTTCATACCTTGACTATCGGAAGAAAGTATAAAAATATAATTTGAACGAAGAAGTAATTCCTTTCAAAAACTTCTTGACTAATAATATATGTTTAACAATTAAATATAAAACCAATACCAGATAAATGGTGTAAGTCAATTTAATAATATAGTTAGTAATCAGTTAGAAACAAAACGTCTGTAAAATTAAAATTACACCTAAGGTGAAGTTTCATAATCGGTTTGTTATTGACACTAGTAACATAACAGTAAGAATGTAAATCAAAGTTGAATATAGGTATGAATGTTTAGCGTTAACTATGTGAGTAATAAACACGATCGGTGAGATGAAAACAAGATAATCATACTTTTAAATACAAATAAGTAAAATTAAAGACAAACAGTAAAATTTAACAAAAATGGAACGTTCGAGTAACTTCGAAATTTATCTCAAAAACAGTATCGTAACGTATCAGTAATTTCTCTTTAGTTTTAATTATACAGACATTTTGCTACTAACTGATTAATAAACACATTATTAGATTGATTCACCACCACAGATCCGCACCATCCAAACAGTAGCTGCTACCTTGATGTGGCTGTCGGGCTTGCCTATCGTGATGACCCAACCGAGCTATATCAGCTGGAAAACATGTGGCTTTAGGTTCTACCATACCGGCATATGTCTAGACTCAAATCATGATTAAGTACGAGCATGTATTTTTCTGAGGCTTACTAGATGTAAGAAGGACAGCAAGGACACCTCTTAGCGTTCTACTTAACGATAGCAAGTCTAAGAGTATATTTCAGAAGTCTCCGTAGAGACCGAGAAACCTGATGGCCGGAGCATGTCGTCGAGTCGGAAGAAGCTGCTACAAGTGGTAATTGCTATGAGCTATTTCATTTGGTTGGAATCACTAGAAGCAAGAAACCTTGTGTGAGTGAAACAATTTAAGGAGTTAGTGGAACGCCAATCAACAACATTCGCCGCCTTCTTGAACGGTGAGAAGGATTTCCTTAGGATCATTTTAGCTGGGCTGTTGCCTCAGCAACACTGATTAGTTTGTCCTGTTCTCCTTGGCCGAAGAAAGCATATAACCACCTTTCCTATTGCTTCATTCAAGCAATTGGGTTAGGAATGGTTCCCAGAATTCACAATTCTTCTACAGCTTTCCCATCGATGATATTCTGAAGACAACTGCAAACAAAGTAGGTAGCAGGGGTGTGGATTAATCGGTCAGCTGCAATGTTAAACTCGGTACTTACGTACATCAGTTGAAGTTGCCATAGCATATTAGCACAGAGATGGGATTGTCAGTTCAAATCCCATAATAGTAGGGGTTGAAGCAGTATTTGTGCTAATCGCAGAGATTAGGGATCGAAGATATGATTCGAGAAGTATAATGTAATGAGATAAATCTAAAAAGGGAAAAAAGGTCATAAGGAATTCAAAAGACTAGAATTTGAGAGAAGGAAAACAACGGATGCATCTGCGCCATTACAAACGACTTTGAGCAATGTCATTCAAAGTCTCTAACCAATGGTTACGCTTGCCTCGTGGACCTCAACCACGTAGTCTACATCTACCAACAGGGCTCAATCCACTTGTCAATGACTTCATAGATTTGTGCCATGTTTTAGTCTGGCCACCCCTAGCTTTCTCCCAGCCTACCCCTACATCAGACAACATCGCTCTTCGGAGCAGTCAGTAGTTGGGCAGGCGTAACAAATATCCTAACTATCTTAGTTGATGAAGATCTAGACTTTATCAGTTGAATTGCCATGTTTTCCTAGTACCCCATTCCTAATCCTAGCGTTGCTACTCGATGGTTCCAGGATAATACGAGCAATGCTTCGAATACCAGTAACCTGCGAATATCCTCTATTCTCAGTAGCCATGTTTCACATCTGCAAAGAAGGAAGGGGCGAACTGCTGCACAGTAAACTTTTCCTTTGGTCAGGAGACGGATATATCACCTACGCCTTAAGTGACACAAGTTAGCGAAAGCCAATCGAGTCTTCTGTATGCGTGCTGAGATTTCGCCAGACACCAGGCCATCAAAACTGATGAGACTTCCAACATAAATGAAGTGATCAACACGCTCAAATACTTCACTCCTAATCACTAGCAACATTTTGCATTTTGAGGGAGAGAATTGCATCCCGGACATGCTCGCATTGTTGCCTAAGGTGACCAGATGACTGCATTTTGCCAGCGTTTTCATTGAATAGAACTATGTCATCTCCTGGTAGATCAACTCCTGAAATGTCAGATGAAGAAATTGTTATCTCTAAAAGCAAGTCTATGACAAAGTTGAATAAGAATGGATAAAGTGAAAAACCTTGACGAACACCACCCGAAGTAATCAATTTTGATGAAAGTTCGCCATATGCTCTCACTAGACCATTGGTGCTCCAGTAGAGAGCTTGTTTAAAGTTAATCTACTTTGATGCACCTTGCAATGACTGACACTGACATTTCACGATCATCAAAGTCAAATGCCTACTCAAGGATGAGGAATACAACAATTGTTAGACGTTGAGATGTGTGTCCGTGTTTTAGGACCTGACGAAGTGTGAATGTTTGGTCTAGACATCCACGTTCGTGTCTGAGACCTGCCTGGTTTTCTTGAATTTGCTCTCCACTAGTTAGTCATTGAAGTATTATTGAGGCTAACGCCTAGACACCGTACTAGTCAACCTGATTCCCTTGTGATTATCACGAGAGGAATTTTGTCCGTTCTTATAGTCTGGGACAATCAGTGATTGAGAATAGTCAGATGGATTTGCGTTCAGATTCCAGATTCTAGCTAAGATCTCAGTCAGTTTCTTCGATAATCAGTTACCGTGTTAAAATACTGACTTCTGATCAAGCTAGTTTTCTTGAGTACTCATGATATCAATTTGAATAAAACGACCTATTTATAATGACTCTCCCCGTCCTGTAAATTTTGAAGCCGCATATAGTGTAAGTTTATATAAGTTGTTTTAATGAAGGAGGTAATGATGAAGCCTGTCATCCTTAAGTTTGATACTACAAAAATAACTATGTCAAAGTGCAAAATCTATTTCGCACGCTATCAAAGAATGTAGGTGTTAGGTGAATATCATGTTGGGAGCTATATTCACTCCAGTAAAGTTTGATCTACAGCATAAATGGTAAAACTAATGCCGTTTTTGATTAATTTATGTAGTTATATGTATAAACAGTCACTCAACACTACAACGTATACTACAAAACTGAGAATCATAATGCATCATATGAAAATCTGAAATTATATCATACTTGCATGGAACGAATGTAAACGTTTTAAATATTGGCAGACACCATGTTTCATCAAGGAATTCGGTATTATCCACATTCAAATTAAAAGGAATCCGACAAACTTCACTGACAAGAGAAGAAAATATTTGAATTAGAATATCGTTTCCCATAACTGATTCAGACTCTTCGTAGAACGCAGCTGATAAATGCATGTTACTAAGCAGTAACTTAAATGGGAAATCCAAAGTTCCAGAACTCAATAACATACGAATAAGAAGACGCCCGCGTCCTTGAGCAGTGGTGACACTTCGGCACTTTTGGACCTATAAAATCGATCCGATATTAATCAACGTATGGTAAACGTAGTTATTAATTGAAATGTGCCATAAAGTTGTATAATTCATAAGTAAACTACATTAATTTAGTAATTAGCAGAAAATAAACGAGCAAAGAACGAGAAACTATGTTTACAGATACAGTGTCCATTTAAACTGTAGCACCTCACATATAACTTGTACTTTTATCATTGTCGAGCTTGTATGCGCATCGAAGATAACGAAAGCCTAACGCCATAATAAATTGGTGAGCCCGACGTGATTCGAACAAACAACCTTCTGAGCAAGTAATGCCCAAGCGTACATGCGCATACAAGCTCAACAATAAAAAAAGTACAAGATATATTCAAAACAGTGGTTCCCTTTGATAAATTTGAATAGAGAAATAAGAAGACATATTTTGTGAGATAGTACCATTTCGTGCTTTCTCGTCAGTCACATACAAGCAACATGTTATTTGTGTAAATACAGTTTTGAAGATAAGGTCAAAATTTCTTATTTAGCATGACATTCACTCACTAGAACCATGGTAAACAAAGGTCAAGATATATGTGAGGTGCTACAAAACCACTCATGAATACCCTGTTTTTAAGCACATTAAATCTATCCGCTTCTAATCCTCTGTCGTTCCCTAGTTCCAGTATCTTTATCCATTTGCCTGACAAAACTACGTAACAAGATAGAAATAAAATTTGATGGCTAGCTAATTCATTTGAAATAGCGTATATGCTTTACATTAAATCGGATTTACCTTGAATGTATGCTTTTCTTGTATGAAGCTTAAATTTTAAATTCACATCGTACTAGGGCATTTTATACTCATTCACTAATCATACTTTTGTTAGATACCATACTAAATACCACAAGGCCAAGACTCAGTAGCTGATGTGAAATACCATTATAAGCATATCAGTTCAAATTGCTGTAACTTGCTAACATTCAATCAAATAAATTGAGTATACAAAGGTACATAACTAAAAACTCACACAAAACAAATTGTGATCGAAAAATTCTAAACTAAATATTTACAATTTCTGTCAGCGTATCAGTTATTCAATGTATTAGATGTTGAAAAACTAATCACAGTATCGGAAACATTCAGCCAGGAAAAAAGGTGACAGGATATTAACGTCAGATATGAATCAAAGTGGCACGATAAAGCAAAACAAAAATGAACTTCAGTAGAGAAATAAGTGGGCAGAGATAAACAATAGCAAAATGACGTGCATCAACAGGAAGTTTATATGCTCTTTTAACACATGAACAATGAAATACTGGTGGTCTCCTTGGGTTAGATAACACAGGTAACCACCTTGTTAAATAGTATGACGGGATGAACAAGTATAAAATACATTAATATGCACACAGATATGTTTACCAGGTACTGTCGCTTTTGAAAGAGACATACCATGACTACTTGGATGAAATGTTTAACCCATATAATGAGTGGGACGGCATAAAAGTTTTTAGGTGATGTATCCAAAATGACGGAGAAAGGGAAGAAAAGTTTCACAAATATCATGAACTTTTGAACGTTGATCATTCCTAAACAAACATGAACCTAAAAGATTGAGTTGGTTGGTTGTGGTTGTTACTCATCATTCAATTACAGGATGAAATGATGCGGACTAGAATGACAAAGCAAGATTAGTGTATTCAGTCTAGCTAATTTGAATTGGAATATATAAGAAAGTAAAGTTGTTTTTTATGTGTGATCCTTACAACAACAATTTCAGGTGAATGTATGTTCTTGACTTAATTATTCCGAGAAGTTTCCGGTGTTCTCGGTACATTAATACCAGGATATTTGGAAACGAGAATGAACAATTATTTCCTGGTCCCCATCGGTATTGCGTATGACGTACGAAATCGAAAACCAGGTTACCAATCTACATGGAAATAAAGTGTACGAAAATACGTCATAAGCCTATTCCATGTGTAAAACAGTGGTTAGAATTACACACTATTACAGTCACCTATGGGATAATCTTTTTGGAAAATTAATAACGTCACCACTATTGTAATTTGTCCATTAATCTGATTTGAAAGCGATTATTAAGTATGTTTGTAAACGCCAGTGCATATGGACATAAACGACTGAATCACTACGAAACAGACATTACCTACATGGTTAACCGCTTCCAGATAACTTGGGTGGACAAAAATTTCCCACTTTTTACAGATGCTTGGGATGTTTTTCATCCAATTCCAATAATCCATCCGCTTTATTAGGCGATGACTACACTTCAGCCCCATGCGTAGGACAGATTCGACAGCTTCACATAACCTTTGCAAAAACTGAGTTTCGTCTGTGACACTCTTTTCATTCGCATTATGAAAGCTGAGGATGCATGACTTAACTTGTTCAAAGTAAATAGGCTTTTGTACCATAGTGTTGTACTCCCGCCTAATTAGTCTGCGTGATCAATCTACAATTTGAGCCTAAAACAACTTACATTGTCGATCTTCAATGAGACGCGTATCTATGCTATAGAATACGATCCTAGAATGCAAGGAGATACATGAAGTGGGAGCAGCCTAAGTTTAGTCAACGGCAGTGGTCCAGGTAACACTTCACTACTTGACCTCTTTGATTTTAAGATTGAAAACTTGAAAACAACCAAAACTCAGGGTAAAAGGCTGATATTGAAGAAGCCTTACAATCTAGTATAGTTGAGAATATAGTATTGGAAGATAAAATCATCGCTCTTTTTCATTTCAGTTTTGCTGTTGTTCTACTTCGTGTTTGAACTCCATTGGAAAGATCTTGTAGACATTCGTCAGCTAATAAATTTACAGTAAAGTAATCAAGTCATAGGCAATTATCCAGACTAATATTTAGGGATTGAAATAATATGCTGAAAAAGAGAAATAAAGAGAACAGCGCAAGGAGCAGAACAGAAAATATACATGTTTAAAGCCGAACAATAGCGCCGCAGGTACTTTTCAAAATTTGAACACTAACTGTACACTTGCACTCATGTAGGTTGATGAAGACATTACAGTAGTAAGATAACGAATGGGCAATTAATCGTATAAATAGAGGAAATTCAGAAGAACCAAATTGTTAACAAGAATGTTGATGCACAGAATATAGTAATGAGACACAACGATCTGATGCTTTTATGATATTTACTTTTTTCTTTTTAACTCAGTAGTTTAGGAAGTCATGAGTGAGCTCTTTTTCAGTATAATTGTCCAGATCTGCCTGTAATAGGATTTCTCGGTAGGAAGTTAAACCAGTGAAAGGTTAAGAAAATGAGTCGTAGACGAGGTTGACAAGCAAAAGTAACAAGAATATCATTGATTACTTACATCCTGTTATAAGCAGCCGTAAGCAAACCAAATGTTCTGCCCCACAGACATAGGTAGATTGAGGTTATCGCCCCACTGTTATGAATGCTGGTCAAATACACCACCCTTCCTCATCCATCCACAATTTTTCATTATTACGTTATTATATATTTGATATCGATACCTTCTAAAAGCTTCGAACATATTGATAATATAATAGATTTCGAAGTAAAGGTCATTCTTTTCCGAAGTCTCCTTTATCCTCACGATCCAGAAGTCTGGTTCACGACACTGAAGGCTCAGTTCGAGGTCCGCCGCATTACGAACCAACGGCAACAATACGCCTACGCTTTGGAAACATTAACTAGGAATCATATAGCGGCTGTTCGTGAGGTTGTCCTCAATCCTAATGTACCTGACTTCTACGATCGTCTCAAGGAGGCGATTTTCCGACGTTTCTCCCCATCGGATGAGGAACGACTGAGGACTTAGTTAGCACGTCACCATCTGGGTGACGCTAAACCGAGCCATTACTTCATGCGCCTGAAGTCTTAAGCTGATCCTAAAATGATTAAGGAATTGTGGGTGGAATCTTTACCGGCGTATATACTGCCTATGATCACGACCCTGCTCGAGGACACGAATCTTACCTAGGTTGCCCCCGTAGCAGACATAATAACTACGAAGTCTAGCACCTCACATCCCATGAACCAGGTTGCGACCACGTAGAGCTGGACCTACTTGCCCTAAACTGGCATCTTCCAAGCGACGCCAAAAAGTGGAAGTGATGCCGATGTTCCCACAGCCATACTTCTTATCGACCTCCTACAGCATTAATAATAATCATAATAATAATTTATTCTCAAATAACAAACATGTTACAAGAGACATGCCAATTTACAGGCAAGATCAAAATGTTAAGATCAGCAACATATTTCTTCTAAAACGGTATACAGTTACTGAAACACTTCACAAGATTCATTGTTTTCTTAAAGATGGAATGTACAATGCGAATTATTGGCGCAAGTTACGAAGGTCGCGTTACGACAATCATCTTATGGACTGAGAAACGATTCATGGTAGAGATAGGTTTTCATATAACAAGAACTGATGTGGTAAATGTACAAAGGTCTGCTTGATATTCATCAGCTAATGATTTCACATGTTCTTGGGTAGGGTAATCAAGTCTACTGCAAATATCCAGACTAATATATGTGGATTGGAATAAGGTTCTGAAAAAAGAGGAATAAAGAAAACGGGACGAGGAGCGGAACAGAAAATATTCTTGTTCAAAGCCGAACAACGGCTTAGCACATACGTTTATGGATAAAACAAAGGTATGTTTACTCAGACTTTTTAATATCATAACAAAAACTAAACACCTGCACTTACGTAGGTTAATGAAGAAAATTCAGTAGTGAGATAACTAATGGGAAGTTAGTCGAATGAATAGAGGAAATTCAGAAGAACCAAGTTGTTAGTAATAATTTTGATTTACAAAATATAATAAAGAAGCTCAGTGATATAATTTTTTGTCTTATTTATTCTTTTGTCGATTCACTTAGGCTGCAGCTAGTCGATACTTCGTCGAACAGCGAATTCATTAGCTTTAAAGCTCAGACAAATGCGTGCCGAACCACAGGCATTTTTTTATTGGCGTGGCGACACATTCCACGCTTTTTTCGAGAAATTCATCGACTTTACTAGACCTCTCGAGGAGATCCAGTCGTTGACTAATCGTTTGGTGCACCACATTGTCAACCACCGGCCCCCAGTCACTACGAAACCTCACCAGCTAGCACCGGACAAATCAGCTTTCGTTAAACGTGAGTTCGAGGATTATCCACCTGCAGATAATATTCGACCTGCTCACAGTCCTTGGGCCTCACCTCTCCACATGGTTCGCAAGAAGGATAGGGTTAGTTGGCGACCAAATGGCGACTGCCGAGCACTGAACGTAGCCACACACTTTGATTGCTATCCCATCTCCCACATACACTGCGACTAGTTTTGCTAAGATCGGTCTGGCACGAGCATATCATCAGATCCCAGTCGCTTTGGAAGGTATCGATAAAACTGCTGCCATGAATTCTTTCGGTCTGTCTGAGTTCCTACGAACGTCATTTGGATTACAGAATGCTGCTCAAACCTCACGGCTATATTGACGACCTGCTAATCGCATCATTAAACTTAGGTGAACATTATCAGCATCTAACACTCCTATTCCAGCGCCTTTCGGATACTGGAATAACATTCATCCCGGACAAGTGTGAACTTGGCAAGCCGGAAATAAAATTCATAAGTCACATTATTAAACAAGAGGGTATTTTACCTTGTGAGGACAAAGTATGTGAAATTATGGAGTACACCGAACCGTTCATACTCAAGGAACTAAAGGCATTTCTTGGTTCCGTTAACTTCTACCAACATTTTATCCCGCACGCGGCAGAACGGTTACGATAATTTGCCGAATTACTTTGCGGTAATCCACACAAATTAGATTCGAACGATGCCAATCGTACTGCATTTTAGGAGATTGAAAAAGCTTTAGCTCAAGCCACGCTTAGTTTGGCGGTTGATGCGTCAGATTTTGCTATAAGAGCCGTTATGCAACAGAACATTTCTGAAATTCGGCAACCTCTTGAATTCTTCTCACAACGCCTTATTCCCACGGAGACGAGATATAGCCACATTGGTCGAGAACTGCTAGCAGCCTACTGTGCCATCAAACATTTCCGAATCGCAGTAGAAGTTCACGACTTTATCCTCTTGGCCGACCATAAGCCTCTATCGTATGCTCTGCATACCAAGTCTGACTGCTAATCACCACGAGAGTGAGGACATTGGGACTATATCTCTCAGTTCACTACAGACCTGCGTCATATCAAATGCGAGTCGAACTATGTTGCCGAAGCTTTGTCATTTTTCCAAGTGAATGAAGTTACTTTACCGGTGCTTGATCTTCCTACTATGGCCGCTGCCCAAGCAAGTGATCCCTCCTTTATAGAAGCACAACAATCTACATCCCTTCAATGCCCGGAGGTAACCCATGGCTACTAGCTCTGAATGATAATTCTACTGGTCTTCCTCGACTCATCGTACACCCCGCTTATCGTTGTCTCATCTTCGATTCCCTTAATAAATTGTCCCATACAGGTATCGCAGCCACATTACGCCTCATCACTGCACAATACGTCTGGCCGTCATTGAATAAAGATGTCCGTATGTGGGTAAAGCAATGCTTACAATATTAACGATCGAAAGTGCTCAGGCACGTGATTGCCCCCGTCGGCACGTTCACTACGGCTAATGATCACTTCGATCACGTTCATATTGACACTGTGGGACCATTGCCATCAGTGCATGGGTACGATCACATACTCACGTGCATCGATCGTTTCACAAGATGACCCGAAGCTATTACCATCACTTCTATTACGGTGGAGACTTTCTCACCGCTTCCCAGAAGGATGTGGGCGCTGTACGGTTGTTCCTCGACTGTCACAATTGACGGAGGACAAAAGTTCGAGTCCGAATTATTCTCCTCGCTTGGTACGAAGGGCATACGCACTACCGCCTACCACCCAGCTTCAAATGGTGTAGGTGGATGTTTTCATCGCCAAATTCAAAACGCTCTCCCAGCACACGGAAACATCAACGAAACCTTGCCGCTCGTCCTCTTAGGTAACAGAACGAGCTTAAAGACAGATATCCAATGTTCCGCTGCTGAACTTGTATATGGCACGACATAACATCTGCCCGGGCAACTTTTCACACCAGGGAGCAGTGATAATTCTGGCAAATCAGACTTCGCCCTACTATTTTCTGAATATGTGCAAACACTACCTCTAGTGTCAACTCGAACGGAGCATCGACAGGTCACTCTCCCCCGAGAGTTATCTACCTGTTCATATGTTTTCGTACGAGTAGATTCGGTACGCAAACTTTTGCAACAGCCTTACAAACATTCCTGACTATCACCTAGTGAACATTACCGAAGACTTGCAACCGTACAGAAACATTAAGAAACGACACCGAACAATTCATCCGGTTCACACACGATTATTTCAAGAATATTAAATAAAGAAAACTTATATAAAAAGTACAGTAGCTTTTTTCCGTGCCTTGTTTATTGACACCCTGTGAAAATTGGTACAGTGTTTTACATTGAAAGACCGGTACCACATAGTGTGTGGCTCACACCCGCAGCTTTTAGACGAT